CTTTTTAGCCACAGGCGGTCCGTGGCTGAAAAATATACTGAAATCTATACGGTCAGGCCGCCGTGGCTAAAAAGTATACTGAAATCTGGTACACTTTTTAGCCACAGGCGGTCCGTGGCTGAAAAATATACTGAAATCTATACGGTCAGGCCGCCGTGGCTAAAAAGTATACTGAAATCTGGTACACTTTTTAGCCACAGGCGGTCCGTGGCTGAAAAATATACTGCAGTCTATACGGTCAGGCCGCCGTGGCTAAAAAGTATACTGAAATCTGGTACACTTTTTAGCCACAGCCGGTCCGTGGCTGAAAAATATACTGAAATCTATACGGTCAGACCGCCGTGGCTAAAAAGTATACTGAATTCTGGTACATTTTTTAGCCACAGGCTGTCCGTGGCTGAAAAATATACTGAAATCTATACGGTCAGAGCGCTGTGGCTAAAAAGTATACTGAAATCTGATATATTTTTTAGCCACCGACCGCCGTGGCTACAAAGTAAAATGAAATCTGGTACACTTTTTAGCCACAGCTGTCCGTGGCTGACAATATACTGAAATCTATACGATCAGTCCGCCGTGGCTAAAAACTGAAATCTATACCGTCAGACCGCCTTGGCTAAAAGGTATACTGAAATCTGATATATTTTTTAGCCACCGACCGCCGTCGCTAAAAAGTATACTGAAATCTGGTACACTTTTTAGCCACAGGCGGTCCGTGGCTGAAAAATATACTGAAATCTATACCGTCAGACCGCCTTGGCTAAAAAGTATACTGAAATCTGATATATTTTTTAGCCACCGACCGCCGTGGCTAAAAAGTGTACTGAAATCTGGTACACTTTTTAGCCACAGGCGGTCCGTGGCTGAAAAATATACTGAAATCTATACGGTCAGACCGCCGTGGCTAAAAAGTATACTGAATTCTGGTACACTTTTTAGCCACAGGCTGGCCGTGGCTGAAAAATATACTGAAATTTATACGGTCAGAGCGCTGTGGCTAAAAAGTATACTGAAATCTGATATATTTTTTAGCCACCGACCGCCGTGGCTAAAAAGTATAATGAAATCTGGTACACTTTTTAGCCACAGCTGTCCGTGGCTGACAATATACTGAAATCTATACGATCAGTCCGCCGTGGCTAAAAAGTATACTGAAATCTGGTACACTTTTTAGCCACACGCGGTCCGTGGCTGAAAAATATACTGAAATCTATACCGTCAGACCGCCTTGGCTAAAAGGTATACTGAAATCTGATATATTTTTTAGCCACCGACCGCCGTGGCTAAAAAGTATACTGAAATCTGGTACACTTTTTAGCCACAGGCGGTCCGTGGCTGAAAAATATACTGAAATCTATACCGTCAGACCGCCTTGGCTAAAAAGTATACTGAAATCTGATATATTTTTTAGCCACCGACCGC